AACCCCTATTTGACTCGAAATTCAACTATGGTTTCAACGGCCACTACTTGCGTAAAGTCATTGACTACTGGCGCCGGGACTTTGATTGGCGCCGACAGGAAAAACTGCTAAACTCTTTGCCACAATTCAAAACCCAAATCCAGGGGTTAGGTATCCATTTCCTGCATGTGAAGCCCAACCTACCGGCCAAAAAGGTGGTCCCACTTCTGGTAAGTGTCCTTAAAGTTATTAATAAATTGAAACTATAATACCTGTCCGTTAATATTAGGTAATCCATGGGTGGCCGGGCTCTGTGTGGGAGTACTATAAGTCTATACCACTACTGACTCAACCCAATCAGGACATTGCTTTTGAAGTGGTCTGTCCCTCCATTCCCGGCTACGGGTTCTCTGAGGCACCGCACCGGCAGGGTATGGGAAGGCCTATTAAATGTGTGTTTAATGTGTTTATAATTTTATGTTTTATCTAAACTAGGGTTTGGTCTGAAAGAGACGGCCCGAGTGTTTGTCCAACTGATGAACCGTTTGGGACACAAGAGGTTTTTGGTTCACGGAGGGGACTGGGGGTCCATTATAACTAAGACTATCGCCCGACTATACCCTGAAAAGTATGAAAAATATTGTTTTAATTTTATATAATTTTGCTGATCTTTGTCGTCCCATAATTAAAATTATTGAATATTCTGTCGATATTAATATTACTGGGAGTAAGACTTACAGTTTGAAATGTGTGTGTTTTAAAAAACGTAATATTACATTAATTGTTAGTTAACAATTAGTTTCTGAATTAAATTAAATTTTAATTTTATAAATTAGTCAGCTTGCAAGCTCATAAAATTAATTATAAATAATTAAATTTTCACCTATCTTAATTTATATAATTATAACAAAATATTGATCATATTTTTAGTGTCATCGGAATTCATACAACTATGGGCTCCAGTCCCATATCACTCCGGGGTAAACCACTGCTCAAGTTCATTGTGGGCACTGTATTCCCGTCACTTGTGTTGGACAACCCGGCTAATGACGCCCCGAAAGTGTACCCATTTTGGCCTAAATTCGCGTTTCTTATGAGAGAATCGGGATATATGCACATCCAGGCCACCAAACCCGACACAGTGGGCACAGCCCTACTTAACACACCCGTAGGACTGGCAGCCTATATACTGGAGAAGTACTCGACGTGGACTAACCCGGCTAATGTGGACAAACAAGATGGCGGACTGACCGAGAAGTTCACTTTGGATGAGTTGTTGACACAGATTATGATTTACTGGACGTCCCGTAACGTTACGGCATCCCTGCGCTACTATAAGGAGTCCCTCAATACAGGGCTCAGGTATGTTCAATATAAATTTCAAATAGGCATGGTAGTATATTGCACATTTATGTTATAATATTGATTATAGTCTCAGGTATGTTATAAAAATTAACATTACTTTAGTATTTTAATATTAGATTTTTCAAATCAATTAAATTATTATCCATTACTTTATTTATAAACAATTTCTGTAATAATATTGTTTATATTAATTCCATGTTACAGTTTTATTTTTTAACCAGGTTAATTAGTCAAAGTCTTATTAAATTAACAGAGTCTTAATTAATAATTAGTTTATTTTTTATGTTAACCATAGCACTCAAATATAGTAAATTAGCTAACTATTTTATTAAAATAAGTAATAGTATGTTGATGAATAATACATATAACATTATTTATAAATAGTTAAACTAATAAAAATTTTACGAGATATTAGTTGTAATAAAACATATAAATTACAGGTTTAGTCATGATATTTATTTATTTATTAAATTACTAAATTGTTATTAATTTTTTACAAACTTATTAAAATATTTTATAGTTAAATCAATTAATAATTTCCTTATTTTATTTGTAATTACATATGAATAATAATTATTAGTATAACACATATTATTGACAAATATAAATAGTATTATATAATTAATGAATTAATAAACTTTACAATAATTTTATACTACCCGTGCCCTACAGACTGCCGATTACAGTGCCGGCAGCGGTGGCCGACTTTCCCAACGAGTTGGTCCGTACGCCGGAGTCATGGGTTCGGGACGAGTGCCTCGATTTGGTTCAGTACACAGAGATGTCGAGAGGCGGACACTTCGGAGCCTTCGAGGAACCGGAGCTCACGGCT